AGGTCCATTTTCTTATCTATTTTCGTTCTTTTGAATTTATCATTAGACCAGTTTTGCAGAAAATTGTATATTAGATTCAAACTAATTTTTAACAAATTCTTCGCATTTTCCTTCGCGAATGCTTTGCTCTGTTCAGTTGAACAAACTCGGTGTGTTCTTTTATATTTCATTATGCTATCATTATGTTATGATTTGTTGGAATTTTTTATCATTTGCTTTTACCCCGTTACGAAAAACGTCAACAGGCCAAACTGAAGTATGTATGCTTACAATTGTGATAAGCGTAAGTGATCATTCAAAAAGAAAATGGAGTATAACGTGGGCGATATAAAGCTGAACTTGAGGATTTTTTTTAGCCCAATATTTGTGATTTAGTTGGCTTTGACACATTTTGTTGTATAAAACATTTTATATATAAGAAGGTGAAATTTCATATTTGTCAAAAGCACTTTAACGAAACGTTTAAAACTCAGACAAACAGAATACTGTCTGTAAAGCTGGCGCATTCATTCCAGTAAATCATGTCTCTTAGAAACTGCCCCGTTTTTCGATTATGGGGAATTGCAAGGTGGTCACTATGTGTTTATTTGTGCGTAGCTGGTTAGTGCATTTTGTTGTTACTCAGGAATGTTGTTATTTTTTGCATTCGTTGTACTATGACTACCTCAGGTCCAGATTAACTTGTTTGCATTGACTTCATTTCTACTCATTTTGTTTGATCTGTGGTCTCCTTACCTCGGGAATTTTTTTCCTTCCATTTGTTTCATCAGGAATATATAACTCACTGTTTTAAGCAGATCCATTCGACATGGATTTCGGATTAAATTTAATCTGTGAGTTGGAATTTCGTCACATTTTTTTTTTTCATTTTCTGTTTTTTGTCGGTACTTTGATGATTTTCCTTCTAGTGGTGTTGGTTTTCTTGTTCACTTTAAACACAGTATGTTTTCTGACCCTAAGAGATATCACTGTTTCAGATATGTTTGCTTTTTTCTTGCATACTACCGCGCTCGTGGTTTTGCGATTTGTTTACACTAGCATTTTTGATTTAAAAAAAATTTGAAATTCCGAAGACTCTTGCAGGTTGGGATCTTTCTCTGTCAGTTGTTCCGTTGGTGATAATTTTTAATGACCCTTTAAAGCATTGAGGGAAAAGTCGTGAATATCTGATAACTGCTGTCACTGTTCTATTCCTTCATTACTATAGTTCATTTTTATGCTTACTGTTCCATTGTAGTTTACTGCATTCCTCGATATTACCCCGAACATCTTTTTTCTTGAATCATTTTTTAAGAACCGACTCTTACAAATGTCCCGCATACACTAATTGTGACTTTCTAGAATTTGCTTGGTAAAGCTGTCTTTGATTTGGAAGTCCTTTAATGTGTGGGAGGGTGAGCAAATAATGAAGTAAATTTGCAAAAGTGGAAATGAGACATCTGGGAATCTGCTTGCTAAAATTTCCATATTTATAGATTGGGTGTAATTAGTTCCATCTTGTCGGATTATGTGATAAATCTTTATACGTCGAACTTCCTCGAAAAGTGCAGATATGTTACGGCATTCGGTGATTTTCCATTTCATATCGTGTATCTTCATGAATTTCTTTGGCTTTTCTATCTTGCGTCACATAAAAGTTGATGGTTTTATCAGTAGTCGTACAGGTAAACAGGGTTACCTTCCAGGGCACGTCGTGAAAGGTGGGAGATGATGGGATTGCCAGAAAAAGGTAACGTCCAAATAATGTACACGACAACTCGAGGACTGTGGCACAGAGGGTTTTCCTTTACCTTTCCGAGTAACTTCATTTCGAAAAGTGGATTTGGGTTTCAGATGCATTGCTAGGAATATGGAAGTAGAATATAATGAAAGGTACAAACCTATGAAGTTAGGAAAAACAAATGTGAGGATGATGCGGCTGCTAGCAGTGGTCGCAAGGAGTCATATGAAATAGGGCTTCTGAAAATACTATGACTGCTAGTGCGGTTCAGAAGACTCGTTAAGTGAGGAGCAGGTGACGTGGACATGCGTGGAAGAGGTGATTTGTTCACATCAGGTGTTCATGTTCTAGCAGACTCTAGCGAATCCTGGCACTCGAGTCATTCATTGCCTGCCTTTTTTATGGACAATAAAGAAACATCCGACGATCTCTACCAGTGCCAAGCTATTTATATTTCATGACAAGTATGCTAGTTCGTTTTATTGTAATTTCGAAAGGTTTGACCGAATCAAGTTTTGCTTATATATATATATATATATATATATCAGATTAGTGAATGAAGATGTTACCGTTTGGTCATTGTAATTCTCAGTTCACAAAGAGGCTTCAGATAAGATGACGTAACAGTTTTTCACTGACTGCTGGAGACTGCATAATTTTAAATGAAGCGTCATCACCAACGCGAAAAGTGTTCATGGAAAAACTAGGTGTAAGGACTGAAAGTAAGCAGCAAAAAAAATCATTAAAAGATCTACAAAGGGTGTGCCTCTTAATTCTTCACCATACCTTTATGAGTGATGAGCTACAAGGAGCTAAGAATCTAAGAAACTTGTGATGAGTACAGCGATTAGCGCATGATATTACGTTTTCTGCTTGACAACCATGTGGTTGATGGATCTTTATAAAAAAGCGACCCTACATGTCGTAAATACTACTGTCCGAACACCTATATCTAAGCTAACCTGAAATAGTAGCCACTTCGTACAAGAACGACTAAGAAGTTCACAATGATGTGCATAAGTATGATTCACAATTTACACTCCGTTTCAAAAAACAAAGGCACCGATTATGATATGAATTGCTGAAATACACTAATTCATTACAACCAATGAAATATTCCTTGCTCATTTCTTTCGAGATAACCAATGAAAAGGTGATAAATCGCTATCAGGGCAATGATTTATATCATAACTCCAACTACACAATCTTGAAAAAAAAACGAACGAAAGTCTCGGTCTTTAAACTTGAGTATGTTTGACATTACTAAAACAGGAATTATAGCTAACAAAAGATTTCCTAAACGACTCGTATTCTGATAGAATTATGAACTTAATATATTCCAATCGGTCCGAAAGTCGTTAAGGGCTTAACACGTTAGTGCGATGACCTTAAGGCGTTCAATGGGATTTTATCCAAAAAAAGGCTTCATAAACGAGATCATGAGTATAAATAAAGGAAACATGTTAAAATTTCGACTCAAGTTACATGTATTAAAGAAAAAAAACCATGAGGGAAGTTTCAAGATGCAAAAGAAAACAGCGGAAAATCAAAACGGGGAGCAAACAGTTCACGATTAATAGTAATATCATGAAATAATACGCAAAAAAGCAGAGACTGAAATTAGGCGTTTAAATCAACTACAGATAAAGATGATTGTCATAATAAGGTGCCTAAGAGAAAAATTCTATTCTCAACTAGAACGAGAGTATTTATTGTGCATCCAGTTGCAAATGAAATACAACGATAGTGAGCAACAAAAAAGAGTTACTTATTATTTGTTGCTCTGCTTCCTGTTTAGATTTACCAAAGTAAACATAATAAAACAAACTATGACACAGTTCTAAAAAATAACGAGCAAAGGCATTTCCAAACAGCGTACCATTTACGAAGATCATGAAACAACTTATTTACTGGCTATTGAAGCCTGGTTGTTTTGGTAAGTTTTAGTGTCTTCTAAAGGAATGTCAAAACACAGCTCAGAAAGAAAAACGAGATATTACTCTTACATAAATAAGAGAAATATCGACGAAGAAAATAACATGCCAATCAGAAAACTAAACTACCATTTATTTAATCGTTCTCCACTTAAAAAGACCGTCCTCTAGGTCAAATCATAAAGCCCAATGTGATGCGAAAAAAAGAAAAAAATCGACGAGGTATACTTAGAAATCAACTAATAATGATGCTTCCAAAGAAATATGAACGAAAATAATCCTACCGAAATGAAAACTTTATTAACTGCACTGGAAGGGATGTAAAACTTAGTATCCAACGACAAAAACTGGAAATATCCCTCACGAGATTATCGTAACACAAAAAATTTCTTGAGGAATTTGGTTGAACAATTCGCCAAAAAACACATAAAAGCCTAAATTGATCGGTGCCTGGAATGAAAAGTGAACAATTACATGGTAGAATACATTCCTCGACGCAAAATTAAAAAGGCACAAACAGCCTAAACTAATCGGACATCTTTGTTGACAGCAGCAGTAACTCAGTGAAGCATAGTTAATTATTGTTGACTATCATTAGTACGGACCAAACACACGAATACATTCCATGATTTCTTCCAATTATTGCAACTTTTCACACTCATAAATTCTCCAGCCACTAACGATTTCGTATTTCCTCCGAAAAAGTCAGTTTTCAATGAACCACAACTGTGTTTGCTTTAATACCCAAGCCCTACTCTTGCTTCGAGACTAAATATTGTATGAAACAAAATATCATACTTCAGGTTAAACTAATCCCACATATTAAAGTTCCGCCTCAATTAAGAAATAGAAGCAACGGATGAAAATGAGACGATTAAAATGAATACAAACTACTTCCTGAGACTGTGCAAATTGAAGACGAAAATTCGTGAATTTTTATCGACCAACAGCACCAAATGAACTGGAATGACTGTTACCATAGTGGTGGACAACAGGCTGAGTACGCTGATGGGTTGTTGGGATGATTGCAAACTGGGCCATTATTGGAACGTGATCTGAGGGCACGTGGGGATGTGGAAAACCGATTATTTTATTTGCCAGTACCCATTCCATATTCAGCGGTCCTAATACTCCCAAACGAGCTAATGACTGCGGTGTTGAGAAGATGTAGTCGATAACACCTTTAAATTCAAGCCTGAAATTCCTTTCACGTTTTAAAAATTTCACTGTAAATATCAACCAGCAATAGTGAAAAATACGCAAAAAAATGTGATTCAAAATATAGAACTGAAGCCTGGTTTTCTTCACGAAGAATTTATCCTACTTATTTTCTTTGTTTGCGCGATTGTTTTCTGAATCAAAAAATAACAAATATCTTTTAAAAACGACCATAGGCTTTTATATACTATATGCTTTCACACTTAAAACCAACGTGTAATTTGTAAACGGCATTGAGTTAGGGTCCACAGCGCAGTCAAGTCTGAGTGCGTGGGTATAAACCGTCGGATCATCGGACGCACTAAAACGTGTAATACAAGGATCCTGACGGAATTCCTTGAGATCCGGATGCTCCCTTGAAATTGCTCCCTTCGACAGAAACTCCACAACTCCTGAAAAACTGCCAGTAAAATTTCCAAAAAAGGAAGAGTTCAATAAATTCATCAGGAAACTTATGCGTTAAGAAAAACTTTTTTTCATGTGAAATTAGTTTATATGTATACATAAAACATTCGCCATAGAAACATTGCAATCATCAGAATATAATAAACCAGTAGCATGAAACCTGATTCAGGAAGTGAATTGAGATCGCCACAAATTAGAACTGGTATCTGCTGTGGTGTTATACGATATCTTTCCGATATCTAGAAGACAGACAATGACGGTTTTTCTTCGAAGAAGATCAGCAAACATCATTTCAATGATTAAATTTTGCATTCAATATCTTCAGAAAAAAACACACTTCATCCAGCAAGGTATTTATCTCCTGCACCAACATCATGGACTGAATCAGCTTTACATCGCAAAATTCTGGATCCCAGTGAATATGTGCGGTACTCACAACAAGTGGATTTCCAACCACATTGTCGCTTGGAGCCATAGTCATTTGTCCTGCAGATTCTTAGAACAATCTGTCGGAAAAACAGTTCATAAGGAACTCAAAAGTGCAGAAAGACGTAGACACCAATTACTTTTATGCGGAGAACGAAGAACAAAGGATTCTAGAATTAATTCAACATGAAAATATCATTACAAATTTCATCGGTAGCTATTCATCCTTACGTTATAACTTCCCCTTTTCAGCAGTCATTTGTATTTTGCTATTTTGAACCAGAAAATGCTTGCAATTGAAGATAGATAAACGTCATTTCTCGTGATAAACTTAAAATTAAAAAACCTGCAGCAGGTATAACAACCACATTGCACCAGGAGTTGCTCTTATCACATATATGAATTAAAAAGAAAAAAACAAACGATTGGCGTAGACATTTTCTTTGATTTTGAAAACAGCACAAAGAGCAATGTTATCCTTTGGCATAACACGATTCAAGATTTTCTCACTTGTTGGAGCTTTCCTGATAGCTACCTGAGTAAACTCAATGAGATGTTCTTTCTCCAGCTCAAATCTGCAAATATACTTTCCCAACAATCGAACTTTTGAGTGAAATTTTAAATCACTGGCAAAGAACCGCAGCGATGCATCAAAGAGAAATACTGGAAAAAGAAAAAATATTTTTGCAAAGGATAATCAATGGCTTCTTCCACAGCCCTGCCCTGAATTATACTAAATTGTCCATAATTACAAAGAAAACTAAATCTGAAATCTAATCGAAGTGAAGGAAAAAAAATACCCAACATACTTGTCATACTTCCAAAAGATCGCACAACCGTCAACAAATTTCCGTTCTTCCTCACCCATCGTTTTCGCCCGTGATTTTGGTGAAAAAATGCCCGCATAGCCGATTTGCTCTAACTCAGGTTGAAAAAGGCAACGGAACTGTTCAGTCTCCACTTCCTAAAATGAAAAATTTACTGGAACTTCCAGAATGAAAAATCATGGTAAGGTTCAATGCAGAACGAAAACATAAAGCACTATCGTAAGAAACTTGAAAATCTCGACAAGAAGGGAGGTATTCTCAACACAAAATTGATTTTTAATCATTAAAAGAATGAAAGGAACAGGCACATACTTGCAAGGTGATAATATCAGCTTCGTAATGTCGGATCTCCTTTAAAATTGCTGCTTTTCGATATTCCCAATTGAGAGCCCAGGATGGACAATATGAGTAGAGACTGTTTGTGGCGTATTTATCACACAGAACGTTATAGCAAAGAACAGTGAACGTCGCTGAAGATAAATGATAGTGAAACATATTCTATTCAGGGTAAAGTTCCGGACCGTCAATAAAATTTAAGAGGAGATAAAGGGACAAACAGATTTAAAAAAAAAGTTGTCAAAAGATAAAATATCCGGAGAGGAGAGGAATCGTGTTTTACTGAACAATTAGTTTAACACATTCGATACCGATCGGTCTTTCAGGATCCGCGTGCCTTATCATCACCCACTGGCGATCCGGAGGTACTGTCGCATTTACTGAAACAATCAGTAATTAAGTTTTCCAGAGAAAGTCGTTCGGAAAGTTCGTAACAAATGAACCATTGCGAAAGCATAGATATGACATAAAAATTTTCATGCCCATGTAAGCAATCTGGTACACTTGCAATATTAGTTAGCGCAGAGAAAATTAAATCCACATCATAAATGTTAAAATAGAAGGCATGGCGCCGTCTCTCCTATAATACCAAAATAAGCATTTTATTCTTGTGCTGAAATGCAAAATTATGAACATACTTGCCAGATGATCTAACAGAAATCGAAGCAGTTTCTGAGGTCCAGCTTCATAATAAATTTTATTAATTTCGGGAGAAAGAGGATTTGACCGAAGATCTGAAAAATGAGAGAAGGTAATCATTCAGTACATCTGAGGTATGAATAATTAGGTTACAAGATTAAACTAACCAAGGGTTTGTAAACGAAACAGCTTGCCCAGCTCGTATGGGAGGACCCTTATTTGGTTGCCATTGAGGTAAAGGTGACATAAAGAGATCATATCGCCCAGCTCAGCTGGCAGACTACGTAGTTTATTTTCAGACAAATCCAGCACTGTCAAGTTCTCTAACTTCGAAATTTCACAAGGAATTCTGAAAAAACATAAAGGTTTGTTAACATACGACGAACAATGCGCTACTCAATCCTTGCACCGCTATTTCTCGAAGTTCCAGTACTTCTGTCAGCGTATCATCTACTTTTTTTGCTGTATAGAATAAAAAAAAAAAAAAAAACAAAGGATAAATAATGGCAAACATCACCTCGTCAGATGGTTTTTGTACAAGAAAAGGGCGGTAAGACATCTCATTTCCCACAAAAATGGACTTAGATTGCGACCTGTAAACAAATATATTTCTTTTTTTTTTTGATAACTAATGAGGCGGGCTGCAAGCAAGACCGCATTACTCGAGATGAGCGGTGAGTTTAAGTGTGAATGACGAACCAAAAAAAAGAAATTACTGCGAACTTTTGAATGTTCTAGTAGTTTCTCTTGTTTACTGGAAATTGTTTTGGCTAACTTCATGTCATCTTCTTTGCCATATCCATGCCAGTAGTTCAAGAAAAACAAACCGCGTATCTCGAGCTCCGTCCAACGCGGTTCTTTACCCTGCGCAAGTTCTTCCTCAGTCATTATACGATGCACCCGCAACATGCCGTTCGGCAACTTCTTTCTACCGTCCGTACTTTCCGATTTTGTTAAAGGCAAGCCAGCTGAGGTGGCGCATCTTTCATGTCCATGCGCATCACCATTAGGTAACGCGAATTCATGATGATGTGCACCCGGCACATATGGTAGGTCGTGTTCTGAAATTCCACTCAATTTTGGGAAATCTGTGATCAACTTCAGAAATTAAACGAATATGAGTTTCGAAAATTTAGAAAAATGCATATACAAAGACACAACGAAATCTTGCTCAATTCACTAAGTCTATTTACAAAATGAAATGACTTAGTACAACATTGTACGTGGACTCATACCTCAGCATGTTTGCTGTCATAAACTACATTCTACTTCTTCAATGCGTTCCAGTCCCTAAAGATATAATCCTGCTCAATGCAGTGAAAGAATGGCAATGACAGGAAAGCATCAAAGCATGGAAGGACATGTTCTCAAAGACTTCGAAAAAGCCCGGAATAGTGCATATGCAGCTGAATAAAGCGGTGTAGTTCGAGCGACACAAGCCTAGACCAGCTAATGCAAGGTGCTACAGTAAGCCCTTTTCAGCAGGTCTATCACTACTATGTAACACATTCAGTGTGTCACGATTTAAAAACGCCCTGAAAAGTCCGGCATCGGTAATAACTTTAGAACAACATAGTTCGGCAGCAAAGAACATAACACTTTAGAAGAACACAAGGTATTCATGTAGGAGTAAACATTTATGATGGAAATGATAAAATTTCGTTCTTATTCGTGAATTCTTGTCCAGAAAAAAAGAACCTACTAGGTAAGAACAGCATTTGTCGCCTGTACATGATAATAATACAACTTCAGCTTTAACGGTTTTGTAACACAGCAAGCGGTGTACCGACTACTCTCTCAGTTGCTAGTCTGATGAAAATGATTAATTTAGCTTCTCAACCCACCTAAAATATTTGACTTTTTGGAACTACTTAACAAAATATTGCATATCATAAGCTTTTACGAGCACTCTTAACAATTCGAAAGTTGTCACTGGTGGCCAATTTTTCCGGGCACAAAAAAGTTACTGATTAGTTTTAGGGATGCAGATTCAAACCACTTTTATTTAGATCACATCCAGAATCTTCTACACTCCTCTACTCCTTTTTTATACCCAGTTAAAAAACTTACCAACCCTTATTTCTTGAATAAGAGCTTTCATATCTCAAATTTGATCAGGATACTGGATCATTAAAGGAATTTTCTAATAAAAATGATTTTTCTAAATTTGGGAAATCTCCCAAACTAATCAGCATAAGTTTTCAAATAGCTAAGAGTGTTCAATGGTACATATTAATTTTGAACTTTCAACATTCAGCTATCACTAAAAGTTAAAGGAATTAGCAAATAAGCCTATTTAGTACTATTTTCCCAAGCAATATTTTAGCAAAAAGCGTTATTGCATAGCAACACTTAAATTCTTGAAGCTGAAACATGACTAAACGTAATGGCTTCTGAAATTATCAAATGAATAACCAGGCTATTACTCTAAGCCTACAGTAATCTGAATATCCTTCTGATGCGTGTCTTGAGAGAAAACCATCTCATTTAGTTTTTCAGTTACTAATTTAGGATAGTATTAGTCATAAAATACACCACAAAATAGGATTTCGGTTTAGACAAAGGCTGGTGACATAAATAAGAAACCAAAAGATGGTATCATGAGCTTGATCTAACAAGGATTTCCTATATTCAAGATCCAAACATTAGTTTGGTAGCTTATTTAAAAACTTAATATAGAAAGTTTAGCATAAAAGACCTCATGCCATTTCAAAAAAATAAAATGCTGGGTTACAGTGTCCTGAAATGAAGTAGTGATTTTTTAGTTTGGATTTAACCTAAATAAAGAAAATAAGTTATTATACAGAGAAACTTGAAGCAGTCCCAAAGATTGGTCGCTGCATACATCTGTTGTTTTCACGCCAGCTACGTGATGGATCTAACAAATAAGTTTGCCTGATAGTGCAAAATTGTATCCCCTCGTACTGTCATCGTGTGTAGTGTTGATATCTAATCGACATTATCAAATAAGGCTCATACTAGCTTTTCTATCGAAGTAACTACTAAATACCAAAAGTGTCTTAAATGAGAACTTATGGATAAAATATTTTGGTCAAGCAATTTTGTGTAACTTTAAAAATTTAGAAATTTCTACAAAAGGTCTGGTCTTCGGTATGTTATTCAACTTTTTTCACTAGATTCAGTAGTCACAACATATCAAGGATTTTAACTAGTGACCGCATACTGCTTGCAAGATAAACGGACAGTTTATTAAAACAGTCGAAGCGGAAGCATATTTTTAAGCTTTTTTCGACTACATGGAAATCAGAAATTTTAGGAAATTCGAACTAGTGAACAACACCGTAGAAAACGAAAATGTACAAAAGCAGATAACTTGACGGAGGAGGAAGAATTTGGTTTAGAGAAGGAATATGCAAAAGATTGAAGAAGAGGAATATGCATGCAGGCGTACCTATCATACTTAGCAACTTTTTTTTAAAACAAAACTATGAAAATTCCTGCAAGGAATAACTTCAAAGAATGAGTGTTAGATTTAAAAAACCATTCCAAAATTTTATTTAAGAATCTCATCACCATTTTAATACGGAAACAGTAAAGTTTTAAAAAGTACAGCAGCTCAAACAAGATGGACAGACAGTTCTGTTATGAGCTGGCAAGAACCAGACAGTCTGAAATCATCGAATGAACAGGCAGATACTCAATAGTACAATGTCTGGTTTCCGAAAAGTCATGCACTACTATGTCCACAATATAACAAGAGATGTCCTGAACTGATTCGATGGCTGCCATAGCAAATCTTTTTCAAGAGGCCAAGTACAGCCGTACCATGTGTGCAAGGGTTCGATAAAATACTAAGAAGCGTAAAACTCAACGAATGAACATTCTCAGTAATAGAGACAAAGTAACGACTTCAGGAACTTACTCATATTCCTCAAGACTAATCGTTATTGCAGAGGAATGCATCGTCAGAAACCCGATGTAGCATGTGAAGCTCAGCTCATTAAGTTTCAATTTTTATGGGTGAAAGAGAACATAAAAGGCGAAACGTACTTGCGCTACTGGTTGTCATCCAATAAACATTAATATTGCGTAGTATCCACGTCTGGACGTCTTCCAAACCTATTGGTCTAGCCGCCCTTTCTTGCCTCCCGTTTGTTTCTTCACTGATAAATTGAAAGCCTGTCGATCCAGAACTTCACGCCTGTAAGCAAACTCCAATCATCAATTTATTTCTAGAATTTCCTCGTTGAATTTGCTTGAATAACATGTATCAAACGGAATGCACCTATCTGATCAGTAGGAAAGCAGTACTGGTTGTTGTTGGGAGTAGTCACAATAAGTCACAATATGTTGTTGGAAGTAGTCACAATAAGCGCTGAACCATAATATAATAGTTTAGTAATACTGACAATGCGATTCAGTAAGTAAACGTAACCGAAAAACTTCGAATGATTTTATGAAATTATCTAATAGCATTCTTCCTCGTTAACCTAGCCAAATGAAATGAAACTTTTTCGGAGGGGAACGACCCTCAAAAACTCGATGCTTTTCCACAGCATTCTCCTTAAGAATTTGTTCGTGTCTAAGTTACGCCTCTCGACACATGGATCCCCTGGTAAGCTATCTAGGACCGTCTTTTGGAACAACCGACTCCTCCATACAAAGTAAAGGATGCCAGCAAACATTTATTGGACGTATTAATGAAATTAATGAAGGACCAACTCGCTACCATGCCTCCCTCAACACCGTCAATCCATGGGACTCCCATACACCGATGATTTTATTAAAAAATGCCGTCTAGCCGCAAAATGCCAGATGGAGTATCGCGGACCAAATAAAAATCAGTGGAAACAGTGGCTTCCACTTAGAGATATTGTTCCTGTTGGGGGGGAGGGGAAGGGATGGGAAGGGGGTGGGGGCGTGTCTGCTTGTTATAGATCATTTCCTGATAGTAGCAGCTGGAGTATATGCGGCAGAGAGGCTTATGATATGGCGTCTGCTATTCTGTGTCCTTTTACGGCAGTAGTTTCCAACAGGTAGTCCGCGAGAACTGAGGTATAATTGGCGAGAGCGACAGCTTGAGCCTTGTGGTCCCTGCTACAGATAGAAAAGCCGAACTGGAAAGTGGTTCCAGGTCAAGAAAAGGTTGGAAAGCACTATTTTACGGTTTTGGTAGTCATACTTCCCTTTGTGTTTATTCTTGCCATTCTCATGACGTAATCCAATAGGTAAGCATCCAAGTGAGGTTTATACGAAAAAAAAATTAAGTTGAATGTAGAGGAGTTATTTCCAGAAGATTGGAAGGCTAGCTTTTAACTTTTGGAGTTCCAGGTTGTTATCCCAAATAAGATATGGCTCGGGAAAAGATACTGTAAGAATAAAGACGAGTGGCACAGTTATTGGCCATCATCTGACATACCACATGCATGATTTGTTTTTAGATAGAAGCAGTATTATTGATCACTGCCGTCAAAACATTTGATTCACAGGAAGCTAGCATTGTCTTCTTTTGAATTACATCCTCATACACTTATAATTTCACTAATTTCTCGGCTTATTAGTAGAGATTAACATGGGAAGGTGTGCTATTTGATTTTCCACATTCTGTCGATCGCAGAACAGAAATTCTCATCATTACAAATGATCATTTGATGGCTATATGAACTTACCCTGGTTGCACTCGTAACAGTGATTTAACGTAGCGTGGAAGTAGTGGGAGATGGTTGTGGCTGATGGGTTGGCGATACTGTGGCAAATAATGTCTGAAAGTTACAAAATGTTCGCTAATCGTGATTTATGGTAGTTCTGAAACGGGTGAAATTCTGGGTAAGGCGTGCCTCAAATAGGGGGGAAATCCTTTTTCCTCCATCTCCTCTTGCATTGCTTATAATGAAAAATTAGTTCCATTCATCAAGAAACTTGATTTATTTGAGTCCGGTCTTTGGTCGAGTACAGTTATGTCCATTAAAAGCCTATTGAAGATGTGTGTATTGGTTGAAGAAGAACTGTATGCATTAGTTCGATCCATATTTCACTACCTTATAGTAACTATTAGGCAGTATTGGAGTTCTTTCGTTGGAACTGAATATTAAAAGCGATGAATTCCTAGTGTGATAGTCACTAATGTGATTGGAACTGATTAAATTCGCGATCTAACTTGTTTTTGCGGGTTAAATTACGGGTTGATATTCAATTAATCTTTTGACAATGTGAAGGAACATAAATTTTCACAGGGGTCCAGTTTTTGTACACGCAAGCAAAAAGGGGGTGTGCAGCAGTGGGGGGCGCTCTTTTGAAGTTTGCGATGATTAGGTCTCAATGTTTGTATTTCTAGTATACTTGCAGTTTATGACAAGGCTGAGCTGTATGCTGGGCGGAGAGTGCCGCCCGCACTTGCATAATACCATCCTGTGATTTTAGAGATCAGAGCTTCACTAACTCGAAATTAATAGACGAGCACATCAACAAAACGAGTGAAGCTAATGAAAAATGTGGAGATCCGTTCAGCAGCATGAATTAGCCGTTGAAAAAGAAAGTTCAGCAGCATGAATTAGCCGAACATATTGCTAGATTCTAAACAATGATAGTTTCAGCTGCTTCTCGGTCTTACGATTTTCCGGAAATAGATGGCGGAAAACCCGCTAAATTTTGTTAATTATGGGACGAATAATCAAGCATTGTGGCAACAGCACCCTGAAGCAAGTGCTTCGGTAACAGCTTTCAGTAACCAGAGGTTGGTTATTTAATTAATTGAACTTAAAAATATTTTAGTCAACTATACTGGGTTGCAGCCACAACTTCTATATCTCTGAATCCTCCCTTATATGCTAATACCGTTTATCTTTTTCATGTTGCATACTCTAATGAAATGCTATCCTTTAAGAAAAGAATAGTTATTTGATTCACTCTATTGGCCACTGTAAATTTACTTGAATTTTTTATCATTTTTGCTTTCCTACTTCATTATCCAGTTCAGACTACAATGATGCAGTTAATCTTTAAAATGAGTCTTTTAAATTTAATCTCAATTGCAGCATTCAAAATTCATCGTGGACGACAAAAATGCTACCGTCAAACAACCCTATGTCCAGTCAAGGTTTCTTTTTCATTCCTCTTTGCAGATATATAGGGGTTTTATTTGACCTGTGGATGAGTTAAGCTTGTTGAATTCATGCATCTCTTCTCCATTGTGTCATGTGTTCTTTTAGAAAGGTTTAGGTTACTTTTTTTTTCTTTTAGGTTACTTTTTTGACAATATTGCAGTTGGCAGCAGTGTAAATGTGTTATCATACTTACAACAGCATCCGAATTCATTTCCAGTCAATGTCCGTAAATTTTACGAAATTCTTGCCTCACAGTAGCTACTTTTTCATTTCATTTCTATAATATTGCCGAGGGATGTGAATTGCTATAAATACCGTTTGTCGCATTCGGTCTCAGCCATTTGGCGATTGCGTCCCATATTACTCAAATAGCTAATTTTGAGATTAGTGCTCGGAATTGACTGGTATGTCCTTCCGTATCTTTATGAAATTTGGATTACTAAACTTGGGTTTTAACATCCTATTTCGCTTTGTTCTCACTTGTACTCAAATTTATTATTTTGTTTAGGACAGCGTGCAGCCTTTGTTTCATGATTCGAGTGCAGAAGCATTAACCTACAATTACCCACCATCATGCAGTGTAACGCATCATCTAGTGAACAGTGTTCGGACTAACCCAGTTGGGCAGAGTGATACCAGTTTTCAGCCTCAGATGCTTCCTAATTTTTCAACAACGCCATTTTCGTCTACGATTCTGCCACTGGACGCTCCTGCTCCGATATCAGCAGTCCCTCTACAAGCATCTTCTTTTTCCTGCCTGCCTGACCAAGATACCAATCCGGATTCAGTTGTTTCCTACGCGCAGTGTCTACCTCCAGTTTCTACTCAGCCACTCACCAGCGTAGCGTATAGGAGTAATGCACGAAATGAAAGTGATTTACTTCACAACTTTCCAATTATTAACAAACATTCACAGTCGCAACTGTTGAACGATCATTACCAAATGAATGGGAATTATCCCGGTGGAATGGGCAGTTTGCAACAGGAATTTGCTAAAATGGTATTTCTTAATGAGAAAAATACTAAAAGGATTTTCGTTTTGCATTAGAATCTTGAATAACACTATAAACAAAACCTTAGATGCGTAGATTCAGTTATAAAAGATTAAAGATTATCATACTTTAGGAGATCGGTGTAACATGACTAAGTTTGTTTGTTGACATATGGAAGAAATGTAGGATCTTATGATTTATTGATGGCAGTGTGAAAAAGTGGTTGTAGAATGCTGACCTCGTACGTGTAACAACTATAAACAAGTTCTACCACACTGATATTAGGTGCCAGCAGTTTTATCGTGCTATTGAGTTGGGCCAAACAATGTGTTAAGAATATTTTTGTATTTGCTCAACTAACTCCGAAGTTCCCTGATTTAGTTGGAGTTTTTATAGCAATTCTTATATGGTTTAATAAGAAACTGAGGGTTTGTTTTTTTCACATGTATTTGTGAACGGAATTATAGAATTATGGGATAAAGTCGATCAGATATGTTGATTTGATGCAGGAAAGAGATTTGATGAAATATGGGACTGAAGACGAAGAGATTGCTCTTCCACCAACTGTTTGCAATCCTGATGCTCGATGCAATCCTAGGTACAATTTTTCCGGAATATGAAAGCGAAGTTTCGTCCGGTATATAACAGCTTTGACATTTTGTGTAGTAGTTTCATTAACAAGCAAATATGAAATCACTAGACCATTATTACTACCTTCATTAAAAGTGTGCAGATATCGTCATGTCTTAGAAATTCCAAAATTAATATGACAAGCCAACCTGGTGCTTTTGGCCAACATATTACAGTGTTCTTTACCTCAGTTCCCTCGATTGACCCTCGATTCCCATAATTCCTTCAGTTCCTTTGATTGAGCTAATTATGCTGAACTACTTATTTTCAATTGTTCTATCTTCGTTCGATGTTGTCTGATAACTTCGATCCCCTGAAGAGATGCTCAAGACGAATTTTAAAAGGGAAAATGTGTTAGTCATAATTCTTTAATCCTTCAGTATATTTCGTTGCACACTGAGCTCGGTACCTCAGACTCAAGAACTGTTAAAAAAATCGCGTTTACCATTTGGACTCACTTTGCAACCATTTAGAGATATGAAGGTTTGATTTTCTTTTCCCGTTATCAGTGGAATAATTTATTTAATAAATGATTAAATTAAAGATGCTTGTATCCGGTTACCAGGAAGCAAGATGCTAGTGGGAGGATTTCTTGCAAATTTTTAAATAAATTAGGAAGGGGTATGATTTGATTTGTTTGGATTCCAATATAATGAAAGGGACTCTCAACATATTAAAATTGCCAGTGATTAAAAAATTAAAAATTAATGAAAAAATCAACACTAATGTAAAAAATTTCCTAATATACATTTGAGCAACGTCTGTGGGCTTTATTCGTTTGTCAGGAACAGTACTGTAAAATATCATTTTTAAGTAAAATTGTCTACAACTTTATAGAATTTGAACATCATTCAAACATCATCTATTGTACGATGTCGGTATTGTCGTACTTACATCAATCCTTATATTTACCTGCCAGATTCCCGTCACTGGAAGTGCAATATTTGCTATCGCGTTAATGATTGTGAGTTCGATATTTTGTGAACGTGTCGAACTATTGATAACTATATAAGCTTTGGATTCTTCTAACGCAGTTCATTTTCTCGATGAAACGGCTGAAATCATTTCAGTACCTGATGATTTTAATTGGGATCCTGCTACAAAATCATTTGGTGAACCAACTCATCGTCCAGAAATTAAAAACTCAACCGTCGAATTTATTGCTCCCTCCGAATATATGGTAATGCGGTGTTCTGTCCAGTTGGATTCTGTTATAATTTGGTTTAATGGAACAATTTTTTAATCTTGATGCTGTCAGACTTTTATCTTCTGAGGTTCAAGCCATGTATTCTTGCTTTTCATTACAGTTGCGTCCGCCTCAACCGGCAGTTTATGTATTTGTAATGGATATCAGTCAAAATGCGGTTGAGACAGGTTAGTTGTTTTCCTACTTTTAGCGTCCTAAGAGTTAGGGGAATTCTATTTTATTTTTATTCACTACTACAAGTAAACTTTGAGAAAGCGAGGAATTTAATGTTAGTTGTGGCTAGCCAATTGAGAAGTCGCCGAATGGTCGAACTATTGGAATTTCATGGGGAGTTTCCCGAGAAACTGTGATGAAATTTTACCATTCAGGTTATCTTTATACTTTCACTGAACAGCTTTTGATTACTTTGGAGCAACTACCTGGCGACGATCGTACCATGCTTGGTTTTATCGGCGTAGATTCGGCTGTCCACTTCTTCCAATTTCGAGGAAAAGCACGTCCGCAGCAACTCGTAGTTGAAGAATATAGCGGTAAAGTTTATCAAGGAACAGTTTCACTGCAGATTTCTTGAAGATCTAGGCTTTATAAGCACATTATTTCTGACTACTTAAATAATCGTTTATCTATGATTAGGATCGATGTATATGCATAAATCTACTTCTCTGACTTGGATCTCAATTACTACAAATGATAACGCTTTTGAATCATGTTAGGTGTTAGCGTGTCTTTGTGTATAAGAATACTGCAACAGATGTCAACTGCTTCAGTGGATGCTGTTTTAAGCGTCGATGTAAAAGGGTTTTGCTTACCAACTTGATAAGTTTTCTGTTTTTTGATTTTTTGATTGTTCAAGCTATATTGTTCACTTTGCGCTTTCAAATGCTGTATTTTTCAGATATTTTTCTTCCAGTAAATTGTGGATTATTGGTAAATCTTCGCAAAAATATTGATGTGAGTTTCCGTGTTTTCGACATTAAACTCTTATTATCATTCGAATAGCAGCTTTAGCTTAGTTTGTGAGTTTTTGCAGGTGATACGTTTATTTGTACAAAGTTTACCTGCTCTCTATGAATCGAATTCCTCAACTTCATGCTGTTTGGGTGCGGCATTAACTGCTGCACATAAACTTATTGTTAGTTTTTATTCTTTTTTGAGTTCTTAAACTTTGGTTTTTAAGTATGCAACGGACTTCAAATTCACTACTGCACCGTCTTCCTGCTTATTCATTTTCTCCAGATTTAACTTTGTAGGCTGATATCGGTGGGAGAATCACCGTACTGTTGACAGTAATTCCCGATTTGGGGCCAGGAGCACTCAAAAGTCGAGAGGATCCAAATCAGCGAGCAGCCTCTGTTGGTTTCCTCGATTATGTATCATTAGACATTAAGTTTTTACAGTTTTGAAATATGTTCCTTTCAGATAATACCCTACCTGTATTATGGATTCGTTACAGGAAGTGTCAAACTTGTATCCGGCGAATGATTATTATAAGCGTTTAGCTCTTGAATGTACTGGGCATCAAATTGCTGTTGATTTATTTTTAATGAATAGTCAGTACTCTGATTTGTCAACCTTAGGCAAGTTTTATGCTATATTTTCCTCCCGTAGAAAGATATAGAACTTCATAAAATGTTCATTAATTCCTTGATTATGTATCGTATACCCACCTTTATTTTTTTTTTTTTTTTTTTTTTTTTGTTAGTTCTGAACTGTATCACTTCCATATAATATCCTGCCCGTAATATGTACCATTCATTGTCGATGAAAGAGCATATTTTAAAACCTTAACAAACTCCATACAGTAGGAAAAAAGTTGCATCCAGAGTGTCGGACAGAACAATCATTGGAACACCACTAGAAAGTAGAATTTGTGTAAGCGTAGTTTGATTTATTGATTTTTGAAAGATATATTGGTTTTGTTAAAGTGCAATTCTGCATGTTCAAGTTGTCTTTCTATTGGTATTACCGCTATTTTCAGCTGATATGTCGAAGTTTAGCACGGGATGTATCTTTCACTTCCCAAATTATCATATAAATCATGATCAGGTACAAGTCAAGAGATTCCAAAAGCAGTTAAATCGATATTTGGTTCGAAAAATTGGATTCGAAGCGGTGTTAAGGATCCGATGTACAAAAGGTCTTTTTTTTCTGACAAGTGCTGCTTCCTATGATTTTTCTTCATTTTTTTTCAAGTGTTTAATTGTTTATAGGCTTATCTTTGCATACATTCTACGGGAATTTTTTTGTCCGTTCGACAGATCTTTTGGCTATGGCCAATATAAATCCGGATTCTGCAATTGCTGTACAAGTACAAATGGAAGAGAACCTTATTGGTATTAATACGGCATGCTTCCAAGCTGCTGTTTTGTATACATCAAGTCGAGGTAAATTCTATCTTTATTCTTCGAATCACTGTTATTGTTGATATGAAATGTCATTAGGTTACTTCTATAACAGGTCTTCATCAATAACAATATTCGTACAGGGTCGAAATTGTTTAGGTACTGCTTATAAAATGAATTGTTTGCAGTAAAAAAAATCCCTCGTTTTCGTTAATTTTTCTTTCATTCATTCACATTATACATATTTTTTAGGTGATAGACGAATACGAATTCATACACTGTGTCTACCCGTGACGAAAGATTTGTCCACTATTTTCAGTCAGTTTGATGTGAAATGTGCAGTATCTCTTCTCTCGAAAATGGGTAATGATTTTCAAACTGCTGAGTAATAACAAATTATCCACAATCAGATTAGGGATATATAGTTAGGAGTCGTTTTCGCGTTAGGTTTAGCCGCAATGACAATATATGCAGTATATGCAATTGCAACTTTCATTTGAAATGTGTCGTATAACACCATTTTTAAAAGACGGTCACATGTTAGGCAATAATTGATTCCATTTACGAAGATGTAGCCCATTGAATTCAATCAAATTAATTTAGCTAAGAGCTGTAAAGGCAGTTTAACAAGAAACTTAAGGTGAGGCAAAGTGACACTGTGTGTTTATCACATATATTTGTTTATGTTTAGCGGTCGAGCGCACCTTTATGGGTGTAAGTTTGACAGATTCCCGTGAAGCAATGGTGAACACTGTTGTTGATGTATTTGGTGCTTACAACTCTGCAGTTTCCCGTATGAATCGTGCCAGCTCTATGTTATCACCAGTTACTTCGATACGTTTGTTGCCACTCTATGTGTTGGGCATGCTTAAACATGTTAGCTGTTTTATTACAAAGCCCTGATTCAAGAATTGACTATTATTATGCAAAATGATTGCTATATATTTCGCGGCTTTCATATGAAATTGATCAAAACCGAGTACTTTGATGACTGATATCGTTTTACCTTCCTTCAAGTTTTTCATGTAACCGACTTTTGTTCACTTCCTCATTGCACATACCACTTAAGGATAATTAATTGCAGTAATGGTGATCAGTTATAGCATCTTTGGTTGCACGGCCTATGTCGGTCATCTTGGGTTGTTATTTCAGTTTATCTTGTGACTTTAAGAACTCTTCATTTATTTATTGCTTAAAAATATTTGGCAATATTAATATGTTATCAACATTTATTTTAGTTTTATGTTATTTTTTATATTTTCAGCGAGCATTCACCGCAGGACAGTCTATTAGATTAGACAATCGTGTGGCTGCTCTTCTCATCTTTCGCAGTGCCCCCTTAGAAGTGATCGATTTAGAGCTGTATCCCGCCTTGTATGAACTCAATCATTTTGTTGAGGTGTCGTTTTTGTTGCATAGTTTTAATTAGTTTTCTAGTTGAATTTATGGCATTCAAAGTAACAGTTTTTTCAAATTTAGTCCAGGAACTTTGGTTTTATTATGAACTTCTGATGGACGTTGAGTTTCTGGAAATTTGCTGCGTGTTACAGTTGTTTTACTAATCAGATTCCCATATTAAATGCATTGTCGTATGGATGAGGGTAATTAGTTCTTTGAATTATAAATGTGCTGGAAAAGCAAGGCACAAATTATTAATTGTTGATATCAATTTCCTGCCAAGGTGCTTTGAAATAATGATTTCAAACTAAGTTCTAGCTATGAGTTTTTGTTATGTTCTGTAAAGAATTACGTTCTCTTTGCAATAATTAATTTTTTCACAGAATGAAGCTGATCCGCCAAGATTACATCTCTCTTTCGAGCATATTAGTCGGGATGGTGTATATTTACTGGATACAGGCTCATATGTTTACATATACATTTCATCAAATGTTGAATCCAGCATTATAAAGCGTTTATTTGATGTGAATACGTTCGAAAAAATTGATGATGATGCAAGTTTATTTAGTATTATGTTTAATTAAAGCATTTCATTTCAATCAAAAAACTGTAGCAGCAGTTTTTTTTTTCACTTTCTGATTTTTTTTCCATTATTTTTTTAGAAGTAACCATTGCGATGCAGTTAGTTTTAAAATTGGTCTGGATATTTCTTTTGTTAGATGATGGTTTACTATCATACACTTTTTTGTTGCAGAATACATTTGAAGCTCTTGACAATCCACTCAGTAATAGGGTACACAGTTTTCTTCGTAAACTTTCTATTTACCGAACTGTGTTTGCACCAGTGATATTAATACGGTAATATTTGATTTTTTGCTAAAGTATTCTTTATCCTTTTTATTTTCTCTGATAGATTTGTTGAAGGACTATCTGATTTACGAACTTTTTCTAATACCAACATATTCTGGTTTTTTTTCAACGCAAAATTCTCGGTTAATCTTTATTTGCATCTAGAATCGTGGATCAGATTTGGAAATTTGATGATGAATGATGATAGAAAATTTTTTTTCAAAGTAATTTTAAAATTTATCACTTAAATCGAAAAGTAAGACTTTCCACACGCCAAGGAGAAAGGGAATTTGACTAATTCATTATTATTCTCCCATAAAATGGATTGGATTTCATGTTGCGAACATTTCCAGAGAGGATAGTCCTGTACGCAGTTTATTCTCCAGGCGTCTGATTGATGATCGCACGGAATCATCTCACAGCTATATTGAATTCTTGAGTTATATTCGACAAGAAATGCGGAAGTAGTCAAAATTATGTTATTTCTGCTTATTTTTGATTGATTTTCATTGTTTCTGTCAGGATCAAATTGGATATTTTGTTGCGCATTAGTTTTGAAACATGCAGTAAATTCATTGATTATGTTGTGCTGCTTGCTAAATTTGAACTAATTTTCCATGTTTTGAATGCCAAAATGTTTAACTAGGATTTTAAAGAAATATTGAAACAGGGCGAGTAAAATAAATATATGTTGAGGAGTGTTCACAACTTGTTGCGTTTGCTAAGGCTTTGTTTAGCCATCAGAAAATTTTAAGCTGTACGATGTATTTCAAATTGGGATTATGTGATGGGGGGAAGACGTTATTCTCAGTATTACCAAATTTTACGTTTAGTCCACAGTGTTAGTTTCGAGATATTTGGTTTTATTTGCTAGGTTTTACAAATTTCTAAACTTTCAATTTCGGTGTTTTCCCAAACTGCCGGTTACCTTTCATGTTTTTTATATTCCGTATTAGTTTTGGTCACCATAGCACTTTTAGTACCAGTCCCGTTTTTTTTTCTTTCGGTTTTCTCAATATCTTTTCCACTTCCTCTTTCAAGTTGTCATCTGGCCGGCAGGGCAATCCCTAAAAGCCTTAAGGAATTGGTGATCTAGAAGATGGACTAAGTTCCCTATATTTGTGGAAAACTTTATTGAAAATTCATTGTAGTCGAACTGTTGTTCATTATGCTAAAACTGTAAAACTCACTTTTGTTTCATGGTCAAAAAAGCGGTTTTGTTCAGAATTTTTGCACTAATTTTTCGTAGTATTTGCAGTGGGAAAGAATTCTCTAATTTTTCATTTATTTCTGAACTGGGAAAATTTACGATATAATGAAAGTGAGTGAGAATAACGAAGATGTTCTTGTTCTGTCATTTGTTATATAGTAATGAGAACATTTTAATCAGAAAATGATTAAGTAGTTTGACATTATTTACTACATTCGACTTATATGGTAAACGTTGTTTTGTTGAGATAATCCGGCCTTATCAAGACTGTTGCAGTTTATTTCAAATATAAATGCAATGCGGGTTTCAATGTTTTTCTTAATTTCAGTCGTTACAAAAAAAAAAGAAACTTTGGCGTATATTTGTTTCCTGAAATGAGGTTTTTCGAGTTTTGGTATTAATTCTTTCGGTAATGTTTTTGTCGCTTTAATCTTTACTTATAACGAGTTTTACCAACAAATACAGTTACAGTTCTTTTGAATAATGTTAAAGGTGCAACTAGAAAAGCTTGAGCATCCTTGTTTTATAAATGGGTTTTGCCTAACGAAAAATTGGCAAAGTATTTGACTTATTTGATAAGAGGTGCAGTGCTTAGGTGCTTATACGTATTTCAATATTAATAACTAGTGTGGTATATGTATTTCCTCATTATCAGAACGATAAGGAGTGGGAATTACGTATTTCTCATTGAAGTTTTTGAATAATAAATTGAGTTTTGCCTTGGTTTGGTTATAAAAAATGACATGATTTGTAGTGGGAATATGCATTCTTAATGCGAGAAAAGATCTATTAAGAACATTGGTTCACGAATTTGCAGTAGTTTTGGGTTAGCACTTTAATACTGACAGTCTGAAATCCCGTCCGGTAGGATTATGTGGAAAATAATGTGAACTACAAGCAATGATCTTTTCCTGTTTTTGCTTTCTTTTTGTTTCTTCATACTGCAGTTGTCTTCTAAAGGAGTGCCTTGGGTTAGTACGGTTTCTTAATTCTGATCCAGATTTCGTTAGACCTGCAACCAATCATTTACGTAGTTGAAAACAGTTACTGTGATGTTTCCGGAACAGGTGTTTGGCCATTCAATGCGGTATTTTTTCTGGTGATGAATCTACGGATAGGGTTGTGCACCAGTCTGAAGAGATGCTGTGCCAGCTTTCACGTTTTTCTTGCTGTGACGTTGATGGTTTGGATCTTTTAATGCTAGCAAGCCAGCACTTGTCAGTATACGTTGACTTACGTGAACATAAGCGGACGTTCATCCTGGTTAGGTATTTAGGTTTGTGAGATTTGTGAATGAATATATAGCACGTTTGTGCATAATTAAATCACGGTGAATAGGACAATTTCTTGGTGAATACGTGGAGTGATTTTTCAAGATATAATCGGTCCCTTGTGCTGTAGTAACATCAACAAATTAAGTGGGGAATTCTCATTATAGGTGCTTTGGACTTAAATTTATCGGTTGACTGTTGATTAATGATCTGTATTCGCCCAATTACGCTACTGTCTGATTCATCCCAGCATAATGATCATTATCTACAGAATGATCAATCATTAACTTTAACATGATTTCAGCGAACTTGCAAAGGAATAATAAGTGTTATCCTTTGAGTCACATTATTATAACCTCTCTTCTACGTCTCTTGAACTCAGAGTTTTGTCGATACCTTCAATGTTTTCATAAACCAGTCTTATCATGCATTATTTCAATATGAATGGATAAGAGGTTTGTACCAATTAAAATTTTTCAAAATAATTTCCGAAATTATAGTTACCATTTACATTTCAATGCATTCATATTTCATCCGATAATACGTTTGAATAATGATGTGCACTACTGTGTGTATGAAATTTTGTAAACTTTGTAAAAAAAATTGCTCAGCAGTCCTCAGAATCCTAATGAGTTTTAGCATTACACATCGCTACCGCTAGGAAAAAGCAAATGTCGATCTTGAACTTCCTCATCGTTTTGCACACTACGGCATATTTGCACCAAATTTGCGGGGAATGAAGCTGCTTACTGCATATGAAAGTAGTTATCAACATATTGTTCTGAGTCATCAGTTGTATTTATCATTTAGTATAATGTGGATGGTTCTCAAGAGAAACAAAGTGAGTGCTATTTGCGTACCTCCTACTATGACAAAACCTAGTTGGTGGTTTACCGGTCGTATTTTGACTCTTGAAAGCGAATAAATTAGATGTTTACTGACCATGTACAATCATTTCGGTTGCTGAAGCATTAAATTGATATATTTCAACTTTGTTGACTCTAAACTTCGGATTCAACGTAGACCAACGCTATCGCTTTCAGGAGCAATATCAAGTGATGAAATATTCAACCATCTGCTCTTCAGCAAGAAATAGTCCATAAAAGAGTAAAACGATTCTTTGAGAAGGCCTGGAATAAATTCGATAATACTTCAGTATTAGTGCAATAACCTGAAGCAAACATCACCAGTGGTACAGAAAGTTATTTCTTGGTTAATCCATCTTCGGTGACAAGAATGTGAAGAGTCGAACTCGTTAATCAAGTAGCGCTGCGCCGCAAGTTCAAAAAACGGTCGGCACCAAAACCAGACTGATTGATGGTTTGAGGCTGTCGTTTGCGAAAAGGGAACGATTTATGAGGGCGGAATCCGGTGCGTTTATGAAATTCGCGGAAGATTTATGATGACAGCTCTGAATAGTGTTCTATTTTTTTCGTGCCTACTTTGTGCTGCTTTGCTTTTTCTGTTGCTACGTTTGAAATGAAAACTACGAGAAAGTCACAAGCAAAGCTAAAGCATCGCTGTTAGCTGTTTGTCTATATATGAACATTCAGTATTTCAAAAGTTTTCAGTTTTATTTAATTTTCAGATTTGAAATTTTTCTGAAAGAGAATAATGGATTGTTAAACCAGTTTTTGAATGTGATATATAACATCAGAATGTTAATTTTATTTCTTGGATCAGCAGATAGAAAACAGTTGAAGAAATTTGTTGTTTAAAGGTCGATAACTTCGCTCCTTAAATTAAAAATAAACTGTTTTATGATTCTAGAAATATAACGAACGAAGATACATATACGCATAGTATAAGATAATAATATGATAATGTACTGTTTACTGTCGATATTCGCTAGTTTGAGATAGCCTACTATCATCAGTAATAGCTACCTCCATAATTATGATTTTCATTATTAAGCCAAAGGAAGCAATAATTATTTGATACACATCCTAAATCATTGGTATATTTGACATTGTAGTGAGAGGGTCATGATTGATTTCTAGAAGTGACTGTTTGATTCTAAATGTCTATAAAGTCAGGCTGATTCATTAATTCCTTTGGTTTGTCACCACGGTGTTTGACTACTCACGTTTAATAATAAATGGTTTTGTGTATCACTTTCTGCGCCTTTCTATTTATGCTTACTTATGTCTGCATGTATGTGTATGTATGTCTGTCTGTCCGTCTACGGCTGAATTCAAAACTTGACATTTGATAAGATGATGTATTAGAGAGAAGATTTATTGTTAGGCACCGCTTCGTATCTGAAATGCTGTTTATCATTTTGATTAAACTTATTCCTTTCGTACTCTCGATCTTTTCCATTCGTCGGAATAGACCATAAAACTCTCAACAATCTTAATTATGCAAAGTTTATTGTTGTTATTATAATGGGACATTTCACTATCCTCATTGGAAATTAAATACTGCAAATCAGGATTTGCATGGAAATACTCTGGGAATGTAATATTCCATGCTTCAATAAGATTTTATTCATCGGGAGTGCAACGTAAGGCACTCTGCTGCAACACTATATAAAGATCAATTAGAACTATTAATTAGGAACTGCTGTTGGTGAGTTTATGAGAATTCTAATGATTAGAATCAGTTAGCAGTTTAAGCTTAAAATTCATTTTTTAAACAAAAGGGGAAAAATTAAGGGAGGAACACCATTTAATGCGACTTGGAAAAAACATTATTCCCAAAGGCAAAAAAAATTTAACTGTTCGACAGATTACGGCGTAGCACTTCATTACTCGTCATTTTTAGAAGATTGGCATACTCGTTTCGTTTCTTTTTATCTCACCTAAAATTGCTTAAATGCTTAGTCCGAAAGTGACCATTAAAGTAAGTTTAAACGCATTCAGGAAACTGAATCAGTTTCAACTTATGAGGGCTGTGTTGTTATTTCAGTGTATTTCTATCAGTAAGGTTGGAGTAACTAGAAAGGAGAACTTCTGTTAAGTAATTCATCAGCTTGTTATACAGCAAACTTATTCTTGAGTTAAGATTTCGAAACTTTAGATTGGCCTGACTAAAGAAACGGAACTTGCTTCTTCAGGTCCTTTAGTGAAATGTAGTTTCAAAGAATAAAAATATGTCTTTTTACGATAAAACTTTCTGAATTATTCATTAATAAAATAGAATACATTTTAATTGGTATTGACTTTCGATTTGAATTTGAAATATCTTTACAAACATTGATTACTATTTTAAATGTTAGGATTTTGGTTTTATCAAATTTCTGTGAAAGCATTTATGCCTGAACTAAATACACATTAGTAAAATAGGGGAATTTGTGCTTTCTTTTGCGTTAATGTTATGAAAGAAAGTGAAAGGGAATTGGTTTGTGAGCTTGCAGTAATTATTTTTCAATAAATAACCTAACACTCCATAAAAGGCTCTTTCCGTAACACATGCAACAACTGATGGGGATTATAAATTGTCCTTTCCCTATCTGGTCTATAATTCATTGAGCACTGGTCATTTCAAAAACACTCCCTCTGCTACAACTGAAATTGCCATTTATAGATCTCTGCTATCAATCAATTTTATACCTAGGACTTGATCTCCAAATTTCGCAGGAGATTTTATTGAATTTTGGGTTTTTGTCCAAAAAAATTGAGTTTTTAGATTTCTTAGCTAAACTTGCTTCCTTTGCGTGAAGACATATTGATCTCATCTTTCGGTCTTTTAGAACTTGCTAACTTTAGTGTGAAGACTGTGCAAACTCTTCATGTTCAGATCAATTAGCGAATGATCATCCGAACTAGTGTACATACTATAGATGGCTCATCTTAAGCATTTATTAGATATACTATGATTTTAGAAAATACACTAAAAGCATGAACTACTACACTGGATTTATTCTTTGTAATAGTTGTGAACAAAATTTGTGGGAAATCTCTCTATAGTGGCTCGTACAAGATGCCGAAGGGATGCCTATTATAGTGAAACTAGAACGGATAAATGAAAATGAAAATTGAGTATTCTGGATAATTGGACAATAAGCAAGGTCGGATTTTCATATCACAATATAGAAAGGATGAATTTTTAAATCATAGATGATATTTGGAGACTTTATTTCAACAGAGGTAAAAAAAGTCTTCCTATCACATTTATCTATATTTTAATACAAAAAGATTACTTATTATGGATTCATCATTTCAAAATAAACCTTTAATTCGTTTAATTAATCCCTTCACTCTTATATTTGATAAGATAAATTAATAAGTTAAAATGGATTAATGAAGCTGGATGTTTAAGAAACTGGATATTACAATCACAGAAAAATGAAAAAAGTCTGAAACAAACATTAGCAAGTTGATGATTAATTATGTCAGTTCATTCAGAGTACTCGGCATTAACATATAGTAAATTTCACGTAGAAGTTTGGAATACCTGCAGCCAAAAGTGTAATTTTGGTTGCTCAATTACATCTATCTTACTGTGTGGCTGAGGATTGTCGTGAGGTCTGTAACCGTTGCAGTTATTTCTATCAGCAGCTTTCAACGAATAGGTTGTAGTCACAGAAAGTCGAAAATGAATTGGTGCGGCTATATTAACCCTGGCGTTGAGTAAATGGCAGAGCAAGCTGACCATTTCAACAGTAATATAAATCTTGGTTCAAATCCATTTGCGCAATAACTTTTCGAAACTTTAATGCAAAAGTAATTTCTTGAGAATAAATGAATGACAGTTCAACTACGAAATCCGAAAGAAATTCTAATGAATTTTGCATCGGTACAGTGTGATAATGGAAATTTTTAATGTTTCAATTTGCTAAAGATCTTGAATTTATCAGAAGTAACCTCAAGCACACGCAACTCTTATTGACTGAGATAGTTGGTGATAGAAGAGATTATTGGTTTCGAACTTAACGTTAAGGAAATGAAGTGCATAAAAAATATAAAATCTTTTCGACGATTTTCTTTTCAAAGTTAGAATTATACAAAATAGTATAATTTGAACAGCCTGAATATCTCGCTAGAAGAATGGTGCTAAACGAGAGTCTTTAATTGAAATGAAGCAGAAGGAGAGAAAAATGGAATAGAATGTTTCCATTGAATGAAGAATAATTTAACGAACAAGTCGTCAAAAGGAAGCCCTAAGTCTCCAGCGTAAGCAACATACAATTCTTAACTGAAATATTCAGTTGGCGATAAAAATTCCAACTACGCATAAAATGGAAAATATTACTCGTGGAATGATTCACTAAGATGATCTCTTAGAAGTAAAAGTGGTTCAGTGGCATTACTGTCACAAATCGAAAAAAAAACAGACTAACTACGTCTTTTTAAATATTGGAAAATATGAGTCGAAAATAAAGAATGAATTAGCATGAGAATGTTTCGACAAAAAAAAAAAGGATTTCTCCTATTTATGTCTATGTAAAGTGGAAACATCTTGATCTAAGTTCACTCAAAGCGTAATCATGCAGACTTTGAAACGCAATTGCCAATAGCCGACAAAACATTGGGAATCTGCTAAGTTATTTGGTTGCTAATTCCCAATTTCTGCAACTAATTTATTCTAAGACTAATTAATATGTTTGGAGTGAAATACATTCAACTTAAATGAAATACTTTAAAATTTCACTTAAAGTTCTAGTACATTCTATGTGAAATGTTTAATGGTTTTAGATTCATAAGAAGTTCTAAAGGAGAGTCTAGGATACAGCATACATTTGAATTTGATGCATTTAGCTGCGAGGGCTGTTCTATTATAAGATAAAAGGGATAGTAATGTTTCTATCGACTTCGATATGATATGCTCGAGAGAATGCATAATTTATGCAGTTAACTTGGCAGATAGCAAGCATTAAAAGTAGGATAGGTAGGATAGGCAAAAGAAGAAATGACGGAAACAAAAAAGTTATTGTAAATACAAATAAAAATAATCCATCAATAGTCACAACTGACGGAAATGAACAGATTGTTAGATAAATGACATCGAGAAACTTCTACAAAATCCCATATCAATTAATTCTAATTCATCTTTTCTCTAACATCATGATACATAGAATGTTCCAAGATTAGGATTTAGAGAGAAAGTGTTCCACAAATGTATATATCAAAAGATTACGTAAAGAAGAAGAAGATTTTATAAACGATTACTTTTATTTCAGTTTTATGGTTACTGGTCAGTGATTCAATCTCCAAAAGCATTTTCATCCTGGATCGATAAATTGTCTTGCATGCAACAGTTCATTAAGTTTCAAAAATTTTTACAACTTAGCTAAGGATAATGTGAATTTAATTGAAATAATTAAAATGTGTGATCATATGAATTTCTAAATGCAGTTCATCCAAATATGGAGATAATGTCTAATTGCAATGACGCTCTCCCTCACAATGTCCAACCTATGCGCTTCATCATTACAACAAATTTTAGCCTTTATAACTCCAAATCAGACATGAAATGACACGTAAATGGGTTTATCTGTGCAAGGAATCTTTTGAAAAAATATAGCAGTTCTGTGTTACTAACAATTTTGTTAGAAAAAAAATTTAGCAAAACGACTCATCTTAGGCAACTTTCCACATATCTTACCACGTTTCAAAAATGTAGCACCGTTACTGTAATAATATATTTATATGTCAAGTAGAACTTTAATCTATCATGAATTTTCAGAAAATATAAGAAATCGACCAATTAAACGTGTAATTAATGAGGTTCTATTATTTACATATTTTTGCATAAATTAACTAACAAATCATTCAATTAACGTATGTTAACTATTTTCATTCCCTTCCATAAGCTGCCTGTGTGAACTTTTTGTAAGCATGAAAATTTGTTTTGCATTCAACAGGTGCATTATATCTCTTCAGCCTTTTGTGCTATTTCTAGCAGAAACGATGAAATAAATTCAGATATGTACATTCTAAGATTATCCGTAGAAGATTTGTATTGTCGTCTATTTGTCCCCATTAAGGGAATATTTCAACATGAATAGAAAACTGTTGATCTGTAGGGCAGATAATGAAATCGGAAGTTTTCAAGAAGCTTTCTATATAAAATCGATTCTTGAAATGTTTCATTTCATCATTTGTCTAAAAATTACAGCCAGAATTGTTCCATTACTCACTAGATTAATCCCATTAATATTCGTGATGCGGAAGAGGAATAGACGTGATAATGATTTATAAAAACAACACTAAAAAATCCGTCAGCAAAAAAAAACGTCACGGCTAAACTTCATTTATTTTTTAAATCGAAAAAGGGAATGAAAAATATGTGCATCATTCGGTATTCCTCTAAAACATTACCAAACTCTTTAATCTTGTATCAAAATGCAATTTCCATTTCAGATTTATCATCAAAGTTATTTGATAATCAGTCTTCAATTGATTATCAGCAACTTTTATTCAGTAAAAAGAAATTCATATATCGTAAATGAAAGTGACAGATGCTCCACGAGAACTACCAAAGATTTTGTAGTCCACGTCCTTCTCATCCGCATTTGTTGATCTTAAAGGCCAAACATGAAAATGGTACCGTTTAGGAAATGCTTTGAAATTTGGTCAGCCGATAACAAAAGCAAGTAAAACTTGTCAAACTTGTTACATACTAATACAGTTAAGGTGAAACGGAAACACACAAGCTGATAAAACTTTTTTGCAACCTATTTTTTAATCACAAAAATTTATAAATTTAATCGCCAGATCAACTGGATCGCAACATAGCAAATAGCTTTAGCTTTAAAGTCCTTTATTGGCTTGTTATTGATAGGGCATTGTGTCTTCAGTGAGTATCATAAAAACAAAACCTGATTGATTAATGAGTGCTTCTGTTCCCGTCACGAAGGATGATTTCTCAAAATTTCCAGATTTCTGAATTTGTGAAAAGCGATGTAAGATCGGTTTCACAAGAATTGATTTGAATAAAGAAACTAATAAAATGGATTTTATAAATTGAAATGTGAATTTCATTGCTAGCAACTTGGAATTGTTTTAACGGTTGTAAAATGATCAGTGAATTACTTAATGTCATTATCATTTATGAGTAACAACTATTTTATTCAAATTAGAAGTTGCCAACCGGTGGTCCGAGGACTACAGGTAGTCCGCAAGGACGCGGCGAGGTGAGTAAAAAACAGCCAGAGGCTGTTAAGTTATATTTCCATTCATCTGTTAGCGATAGAGGTTGATAGAGGTTTATTCGGGTAGTAATATTGTACTATAACTACCGAAATCTCTTTGTTTAAGTTTGTTTTCAAACTAACGGAATTCATTATTTTTGAACCTTGTGGTCCCTGTTACAAATAGAAAAGCCAAAGTGTTCTCTGGTCAAGAAACCACTAATCTAAATGAAAGTATCCTTATTAAGCAGTTTCCCTATAGCGCACTTTTTAACTAGACTACTAAATTGTCATCGTCTTATAATCTCCGGTTGGGATTATAGTTCCATACACAGATGTCGACTCATCATTGGTTGTATATCTCACATAACCGTTAAGGGATAATCATTTGCTGATAATAGCAGTTATGGTCACCATGATAAATGTTATTGTCATTGAACGAGAGGAATGAACCATGCTTTTCTCCATCCTTCCTTTCACTGTTCCTCGAACTGTTCTTATATTTGAAAAAAAAAAAGAAATTATAGAAAATGCAAACTTTTGAAATGTTCCCCAGCCCCTAGTTTTTCAAAAATTTTGCTACTACTTTAAATAATGATAAAAATTTTGTTTTTATTTCATTGTCCCCACCAATACTTTGAAAACACTTCGCAGGATTTACTTTTCTATAAAATTATGCCACAATGTCAAAAAGGTGGGATTTTCGAAAGTGTTTAGTAGTTTCTAGATTATATTGCTGCTGCTGCTAGTTTTTTGAAAGTTACTGCAAAAAAAACTGAATCAGAGAGTTGCAAAATTGAAAGTTTAACACAAATATTGTTCGGAGTGTTATCCGATATTTGATTGTATTTTCCTCATTTGGAATTTTTTGGAAAAAATAAATTCATTCTGGGAAGTTCAAACTTTTCGAAGTCAACTTGTCCGATCAGTTCATGACAATGCCTTTATCGATAAAAAAAAAATGTTTCCGCTTTCAAAGTTGTATCTCAGATCATCCTCATCAAAAGTGTGATCAAGGAGGACACTGAGGGGAATCTCTCATGCAAAGTGAATTCATTCTTGAATGTCAACGAGAACTGTCCGTACAAAAATGATTCATCGATTGAGTTTAGACGAAAGGAAACGATGGAAATGAGATGTCGGATCAGGTAGAGCAATTTGATTGCAGAATTCTTACTGGATCGATTGACTCTTTCCACTGTGCTATAACAAGCTTGTTACCTGCATGCAAGCAACTTCTTGCTAATCAAACTTTTTCCTCAATATTGTTACACTCTTTTCACATCAATCATCAATTAGACAAATGCTAAGTTTCACGTCAATAAATTTGCTAGAAGCAGTGGCAGAGTGAGAATGACATTTGATGGGAGACTAGGAGGAGGAGGTGAAGGGAGGAAGTGCTAGCAGAATGGTTAAAATTGTTTGTTTGCTGACAGGAGAGCGTGATGGATTACACGTGTCCGGTCGAGGAGGGAGTAAGGCAGTCGAACAGGCTCTTTGAAGTTGCCGCAAGTCGGTACCCTTTGGCTGCTTGTCAATCATTGCGCCATACAGTAATTGTCGCCGTCATTGTACAAATGTGGGTGTGTGTGTGTGGATGTATGTGTGGGTGGACACGGGTGTGCATATGGACGATATTGCCTTGATTGATGGTTTTCACATTGTTGCTGTAAGTGTTGCTACGCATCCTCGCGCACAATCCGTCAAATTCTTCTTTCCCCTCTCCCCTCCTCCTCTTCCGTCAATTTAATCTTGTATTTAATCTTGTCGGTCCGTCCGATTATCATCCATCCATCCATCTATCCACCTATCCATCTATCCATCCATCCATCTACCTATCCATCTATCATCCATCTATCCATCCATCTATCCATCAATCCATTTATCCATTTATCCATCTATCATCTATCCATTTATCCATCATCCATCTATCCATCCATCTAAAGGGACGGAGACATCAAAGATATGCTTCACGATAAGGTTTGCGATGCTTGTTAAGCATTTCAATGTTTCATTCTTTTATAAATAAGACACCTACGCTCTGACTAACAAAGAAATTAAAGAAAGGATGGTTTCAGGACTGGTAGAATCATTTAGTTTTGGAAATCGAATCTAACCGTTTCTGTTATTTTTCATTATCCGCAAACATGGCGCATTGAGTGTTGAGCAGTTCTGATGAATCTTGTTATTCAGTTTTGAAATTATGCTATGAAATTTATATCAATTTATGCAAAAATATCGGCTTTTCATTACTTGCTCTCAAAACAAACGTTTTTCCATCCCTTCATTTGAAAAGATAATGAACATTGCACTTTAGAAATGCCTGCTAAATTTGAATTAATTAACTAATTCAAATTTTTTCCGACTTAATCTTTCGGAGGTGCATTTTATTCGAGGGGAAATAGAGTTGTTGGATGGAAGCGGTCTGGTGAGCATGAAGTAGGCTTGAAAGTTGGAGAGATCACAGAAATGTAAGCAGGACACTGCTGAGGATAATAGATATCATACGTCTGGTGATTTATTGCATGCTTGGCTTTACAACTCTCCTTCTGCTGCTTGATGAAAATTTCTTCTGTTTTCCCCAGGGGTACTGTCAAGTGCTTTTGCAATCTTACCATAATTTCTTGAGAAATGGATGATCTGTATGGATGTAGTTCAAAAGCAGATGAAATAATGTTTAACAAGCAGCAAATAACGCCAATTTAAGTTATCTTATAAGTAGGATTCCATAACTAGTAACTAAACCGTTGCGTTATTAATTTATTTTACCAATTTTACAATAATACAAACAATACAGCAAATATATTGTGTCGTTGTTGCATCTAGTGTTCCTTATATCATCATCATCAGGCAACTGACACACACACTAATGATTGCGGATTGCGCCACATCCAAACATCTGTTCTTCGTTTATATTATAATTACAACATAAAAATTTCTCTTAACCGAACAGTGAGTGATTATTATTGCCTGCATGACTCACATATGCAAATTCGTACCGTCTAAATTCCAGAAAAGAGTAAGTTTCGTAATACATCATGTTTTGCGATTATCTGTTGAAAGATGATAGCGAAAGATAGTCAATCATTTCGAGCTCCATCACTTCAACGGAATACAAAAAAGGATTTTGGAACAAATTCTGTTTATTCGTTATTCGTTTTATTCGTTCTTTTTAAATTTTATGTAATACACTGGGGAACTGGAAAATTGTGATGAGCAGTTAATGTTTGTGCCACCGACGCAGAAACCTCATAAATCATCAAATTGGAAATGATGAATTAGCAGGGCACCTATTATAAATCAATTCTTTTTCCAGTAATCCATTTCCTTGTTATAACTACTTTAGCAAGAAAAAACCGATTGTGAACTGAAGATGGAGCTGTTTTGGGTCATTGTCGTATCAAACAGTTGCTTAAAATATTATCCGATCTATAAAGTTACGTTAGCTGAAATTTATCGATGAAAAAGCCCTACCTTGTTCAAGGGAACAGAAAAGCAAAAAATTTGCATTTAGCTGAGACCCAGAAATCATTTCTCTTTTAAAAGAGTTATGCGCATCTTTTTAGGATTCTGACATTTCTCTTGAAATGTCTCATCAGTATCGTTTCTCGAAACCGTTTTAGCTAGTCAAATTGCTATTTAAATAGCAATAACCTCCCAAGATTATGCATAAAAGAGAGAGAATAAGAAGTATTGGCGTGGAATTGGTTCAAAATTAATGAATCACTGGGTGATGGCTTTATCAAAAATCTTCAAAAGTCACGAACCACATTTTAAGCGTGTGCATTTTATCGCATCTGCACAGATGACAACGTATTGCGAATAATGTAGTTCATCCAAAGAACGGTATGGATTGCTGGTGATGGATGCAAGGGCATAATTTTAACAAATGACTGGACATTTCGAAGTTAAGTAAATTAAAGTCAAGAGAATGGCTACATTTTTTTCGCTCAAATCGGCCGGATCACCCAAACAACTAATTTTCCAAACAAACTGTAGTTTTCCCTCGTTTCGTTTTTAAACAGAATTAATGGCCATCAGTTGACATTTTCCATCTATTTTTTGTGAAAAAAATTGTTTAAAAATTGATTATTGTTGGAAAAATATTCCCTTTGGAAAACATAAAAAGAAATACTCAAAGTAACATTACAATATGATTCGATGGTCTTCGAATTTTATCTAACTTATTTCCCTAAAAAAGGAAATTTTTTGGAACTAATTCAATTATACTTTCATACTATTTTAAAACGTTGTTATCTGCAACTAATTTAAATTCAGAAAGCTTGGACTTGCTTTACTCTGACAAGTAATAGCAAAAACAACAAGTAGTTAATGGTTTTATAAATTAAGCACCAGCCCAAAAAAAGACTTGTCAAGCAATCCGGTTGGCTGTTTTTATTGCCTGGATCGGTCAAATCGGTCAAAAATTATTTCATTGATGCAACATTTAGTAATTAAAGAATCGTCCCCCATAGTATATAGGCGAAGTGCCGGTTTTAAAATTATTTGTCAAAATAAAACTAGTGACTGGGTAAGGTTAAATTCCTTCTAACGAATTCCAAGCTTTGTATTTTCTCAGCATATTTCTCCTACAAGGACAAAAGAGAAAAAAGACAGTTCAAATCGTTACATACATAGTTTCTTATTCCTGTTCACTATATCAGTTGAAAGTCTATTTTTGACTCTCAAAAATTTCGGCATACTTGAAGGATAGCATGAGAAGCAATAGGAGCAATAGAAGCAGCATACATGCTGCTCAGTGGGAAAATTTAAATTTATTATGCAAACCAAAATTACAGCCATAAAGTGGTTTTTTTTTTTTGTTCAATAGAAATGAATTTATTACTGATGATGTTGTTGAAGATCCATCTTCAAATATATCTTAGATATATATATCATACATCATGATTAA